TTGTCCACTCATTCAGAGGTCTGCATTCCTGGATGCACCCCTGGACTGAGACACCCCACAGCTGCATGCCACTGTGTGTTCCAGCGATGCTTGCAGGACTCATCAGCCCAGGCACAGTTCTGTCTCTTACCCCAGGCAGGGTTTGGAGAAGTTTCCTCCCTGGAATTCTGCCTAATAGCTTAGGGAGCAGGTGTTCCTTTCTGGTCAAAACAGTGGGCTTTATTTATTTGAAAGGCAATTACAGAGAGAGGAAGTGAAAGATCTTCCAACCATCAGGCTGGTCTAGCTTGAAGCCAGGACTCAGGAGGCCAAGTACTTGGGCCATCTTCTGTTGCTTTCCCAGGAACATTAGCGGGAAGTTGGATTGGAACTGGAGCAGCTGGGCTCCAACTAGCATTCATATCAAATGACAGCCACACAGGGAGCAGCTTAACTTACTATGCCGCAACACTGACCTCAAGGCTGGAATGCTTTAAAGAACCTGAGCCAAGTTATTTGCGTATTCAAGGGTTTATAATATATGCTCACTTGTTCAACAAGAATAATAGTTCTGAAGTTTGTGGGAATTAGAAGATATGTTTATTTTGGCGCAGAAACGTTCTGAAACTCATGCATTGTGTTTTCATAAGATGCCTTCTGTGTGAGCTTCACGGAAACCCCTGTGCATGTTCATTTTGCCTTTGTGGGTGCTAGGCACTGTGTTCGGCAGTGCCGGCTTAGCCAGGAGACAATCATGAACACCTGGCGAGGGAGGCCCACCGTGCCTTTCATCTGGACTGTCTCTCCAAGATATTTGTGTATCAAATGCTCTTTTTTAATAAAAAAATTATTTATGTATTTGAAAATTACTCACACACACTCACAGAATGAGATATGGAAAGGGGGTGGAAGTGATTTCTATGCATTGGCTCACTGCCCAGATGGCTGAAAAAGGCAGGGTTGGCCCAGGCCACAGTCAAGACACAGGCGTGTCACATTTCCCATTTGGGTGCTAGAATACACGAACTTGGGCCATCTTCTACTCCTTTATTACAGAAATAAGAGCACAGATATTCACAAGGCCACTTGTGAGCAAGGGACTAACCTTTATTTGGGCCAGGTGGCATCAGCTGGGGTCACCCCCAAAATGTGAGCCTCGGTTGTGCCTCTTGTCAGAAACTTTTATAAAGTGCAGAAGCAAGTAAACGGAGAGCTATAGAAGGGAAAGTCTGAGCAGGTAGCCTTGGGCTGTTAGGACATTACAGCCCAGTTTGCAGGACTTTCAACCTGCTTAGCTGACATTGCATCCTAGGATCGGCTACACACGTCTTATCCCAGCTGACTCACAGCAAGCTCATCTTCCATGTCTGCTGTGCAAGCCGCCCTCAGGGTCACCAGCATCTGGCCTGTTTGTCCCATGAAACCTGCCAGCCAGCCTGCTTTTCTCTCTCAGCTTTCCCAAGGCCTTTAGCAGCACCTGGTTCAGAAATGGAGCAGCTGGGACACAAACATGTGCCTATAAGGGAAACTGGATTTACAGATGGCGGCTTTACTTCCTGCACCACAACAGCTCCTGTGTATCAGTCTGCAAGATGAAGATGGTGCCTTCCCTGAACAAAATGTGTGTGTGTGTGTCTGGGGCGGGGTGGCGGGGGTTGGTGTTTGGCCATCAGGGGGGATTCTGCATTCCTTAGGTCAAGTTTCTCTGTTAGAACTCAGTCCACTCTGCAGGCAAGCATCCCCTGTATGCGACAAGAACGGGAGGTGTGACACAACACAACTGTATCCGCTGTGTGCAACCAGACAGGGAGAGTGACACCAACATGACTGTGTCCTGTGTGCAACCAGACAGGGAGAGTGACACCAACATGACTGTGTCCTGTGTGCTGTCAGACAGGGAGGGTGACACCAACATGACTGTGTCCTGTGTGCTGTCAGACAGGGAGAGTGACATCAGCATGACTGTGTCCTGTGTGCTGTCAGACAGGGAGGGTGACACCAACATGACTGTGTCCTGTGTGCTGTCAGACAGGGAGAGTGACACCAACATGACTGTGTCCTGTGTGCTGTCAGACAGGGAGAGTGACACCAACATGACTGTGTCCTGTGTGCTGTCAGACAGGGAGGGTGACACCAACATGACTGTGTCCTGTGTGCTGTCAGACAGGGAGGGTGACATCAATATGACTGTGTCCTGTGTGCTGTCAGACAGGGAGGGTGACACCAACATGATGATGCCCTCACTGCTTGTTGAACAATAACCCCCCTTGGGCCCGGCGCGGTGGCGCAGTGGTTAAGGTCCTCGCCTTGCACGCCCGGGATCCCATATGGGCGCCGGTTCTAATCCCGGCAGCCCCGCTTCCCTTCCAGGTCCCTGCCTGTGGCCCGGGAAAGCAGTCGAGGACGGCCCAAAGCTTTGGGACCCTGCACCCACGTGGGAGACCTGGAAGAGGCTCCTGGCTTCGGATCGGCATAGTATCGGCCCGTTGCGCTCACTTGGGGAGTGAATCATCGGACGGAAGATCTTCCTCTCTGTCTCTCCTCTCTGTATATCTGCCTTTCCAATGAAAAAATAATAAAAAATAATAATAATAAAAAATCTGCCTTTAAAAAAAAAAACAATAACCCCCCTTTGTCTCTGGCCAAGGAGGTTCATGTCTTACAGCTGTACCCCGACATAGTTATAGAGCAGCTTGCTCACCTGAAAGCAAGTGCCATCTCATGCCAATCACGACTCTTGCCAAGCTGAGATCTTTAACTCACACTGCACTAAAAGTAGCATATCTGGCTATTCATGCTGTTGATGAGACTGCAGGGTGCAGAACAACATTTTTTCAGGACCACAGAGCCTGTGAGGACCTGGGCTGAGAGTTTGATTTATCTCAGATTTAAGAACCACTCTTTTTCCAAAGATCAGCTTCCTGTTAAATTGTGGCCATTAAAGTGACTGTAGTTCTATTTGTGGTGCCGGTGCAGGCCAGGTAAATCCTCTTGGTGAATCATCCCCAGTTGCTAGGATAACAAATGTCTTCAGACAAACAACGGAAAATGACCAGACGCCTCTCCTCCAAGAAATATAAACAAGGCTAAACTACCTGGAATCCTTTTCTTTAAGAAAGAAAAAAATGCTCCGCAGCCTTCTGAGCAGTCGGCTCCCAGCGCTGACTTTCCGCCCTCCCTGCTGAAGAATTAGTGAAGTCGGCTTCTCACAAGGCACGATGGATTATGCCACGTGAATCTCCAGGTGCACCTCCACAGTTTTTCCTGTTCACTTGATCTTTGCCTTGCCCTTATGATACCTACCTGTTCCTTCAGAGATGCATTCTGACCTTGTGACCAAGTGCAGCTGTCCTCGCTCTGGGGCCAAGGCTGTCTGGCCCAGACCTCATGTACTGTGCAGCTGACTGGGGCCTCCCTTCCTCTCCAAAGGCTTTCATCAGCTCACCTCTCTCCCTCTTGCATTGATTTTCAAATCTATCTGTGTTCCTTATCTCTCAGTAATTGTAATATTTTGGTACTGAATCATCTCCACTATGCCAAAACCACTTAAGGCAACAAATGGCACGTTGAGCTTCAGTCAACCCTCAGTCTTATGTGATTACCTGATAAGTGTCTGAGGCTGGCAGCTGTATCTTACACACACACACACACACACACACACACACACACACACACGCGCGCGCGCGCGCGCTACCCGTCTCTTAGAATTTGTTGACTAAATGATTTTGCAGCTTTGCGGTTATGTGTAAGTGTGTCCATACAACCTTTCTGTTTTACACTTTCACTACTGTATTCAACCAGTTACATGAGAGAGCCAAAATTGTGTAATAAGAGGCTTTGTATTCGATGTCTTTGGCAAACACAGGCTCATGTAAGTGTTCCACACGTTTAAGACAGGCTAATTAGATGTTCCATAGGTTGTGTTCATTAAATGCAGTTTCACTGGTGGTCATCACTCACAGCGGATTTACAGAGAGCAGTGCGAGTGGAGAAGCACCTGCCTCTTCCTCGAAGGATGCGTGTGGATGCTCTGCTGGGATGTAAGTTAGCTGGTCATTTTACATTGACAAGAATGGCCGGGCTGACACGATTCCTTAGGTATTGAGGCATGACTGGACTAACAGAACTTCCTGCCATCAATTCAATCAGCCAAGGCAGGAAGGCTGCAACCCTACTTGTTCTTCTCAACACTTGAAATGAGGCCAGCTTTCATAACAGATGGCCCAGGACGCACAGGTCCAGGCCCTGGTGAAAGTCTTTGAGAGTCCTGCTATCACCCTTCTGCTGTCCAAGGGGTTCTTGTTGATAAGCTTCCCTTCTGCTGAAAGAGGAGGGGGTCAGGGAGACCCAGGTTCAAATGTTCACCTGGCAATAGGAGCTGCGTGACCTTTAGCCAGCTCTAACAGCTTTCTGAACCTTTAGATTCTCTGCAGATCTAAAGAGCAGAGAAGATCTGCCAGCCAGGTTCTTATGGAGAAGGCTGAGATGTCACCTGTTCAAAGACACTGGGATTCCTCCAGGCCCTCTCATTTTCCCATCATTTCCAGTCCTTTCTCCTCACCGATTCCTCTTTAATCACATCCTTCTTTCTGCTCATCTCTCTTCCTCCTTTGCGGTGTGTGGGGACTTCATCATCCATGTTTGTGTCTGTTGACCCCACCCAGCACTAGTTGCACACCTGCTGTATATGTCATTGCACTGTTGGATGAGAGCGTGAAGATTAAGCAAACTTGTCCCTGAGCTGAAGGATCTTACTCATTGCCTTGCACTGGGTCCGTGTGTGTGTGTGTGTGTACGCTCACACGGGCGTTCACTGTCTGAAAGGTTCTCCTTATTGTTAGGTGTGACTGTATCATGCCTGCAGTTTGCCTGAGACCGCTCTGTCCGTAGGGCATCGGGACAGGATCAGCTTGGACAATCCAGCCTTGAGGTGTTCATGCCTCAGTGCGCCTGGTCCTGCTAGCCTGGCTCCAGGTCAGCATCTCATTGCCCACACTTAATTTCACAAGAAACCCTCTTTATTTGACTTTAAAGATTTATTTATTTGTGGCTAAGAGTTACAGAGAGTGAAGCAAAGAAACTATTCCCTTCTTGTGACTCTCCTGGGTATTGTGAAGTGATAGAAAGCCAATTGCTGCCCATCTCCTCTGGGTCTCATTCCCACTTGTGCTCTCAGCATCCACGAGGTTCTTGGCATCTGCCCTCTGTGGGCAAGAGGAGATGTGCTAGCCAAGCCCCCTTCAGTTTCCAGGGTCTCATCTACTTTGGCTGGTGGCCACTGCTCCCCCAGTACTCCCTGAGCCCTGAACCACGTGCTCCTCCTAGGGTGACAGGGAGCTTTCTGCTGTCTCGGCGGAGTTTCCATAACTGGATGGATGTCTCGCACAGCTACACCCGGAAGAGTGGCGACGCCGCCCATCCTGTGATTCCTGGCCACTGCAGAAGTGGTGCAGTCAGGCTTTGTTAATCAGGACACCCACAGTGTCCACACAACTCCAGTCACTGACATTGGAAGGGAGCACTAATAGTTGCCCCATTTGTTCCAGCCCTTGAGGCTGTGATGTCATGATTGTGGCCTGAATATCCGTGATCTGAGACATTTTGGACCAGCAGGGCAATAGGCCTTGGATTTGGGGATATTTGCATGTACACACTGAAGACTCTTGCTGGGTTAAGAGACAAGTCTAAATATAAGTTCACTTCCGTTTCCTAGACACCTTATACACAGTCTGAGGAGAGCTTTATATAGTACTTCAAGTGCACCTGCGTTAGGACAGTGACCTGCAATGTGGAGTCAGCTGTGACACTTTCTGCCTGTGGTTTCAAATTTGGAGCATCGAGGATTTCAGGTGAATTATAAGAACCCTGGGCCCTGGAGCTAAAGGAAATGACCCACATATGATCCCAGACCCCCAGCCAGGGAGAGGGTCTCTGCAGCCTGTGCTGCTGGCTCTCGGTTCCACTGCCGCTGTGAGTGCACAAGGATGGGGCTCCCTCAGTGCTGCTGAACAGCTCCCGTTTCTCCAGACTGCATCAGGGGCCAGTGCTCCAACTACCATCTGACTGCTGCCACAGTCTATTTCTAGAGGGACAGTCATGTTAACAGTCTTTTCCTGCAGCTGCTGCCTGTGTGGCAAAGGACGCCGGTCACTACTCCTTCCCTCCTCTGCCCTGGGCACACAACCAGGGAACATACAATCAACAGCGGGGGAGCAGGCCCAGCATGGCTTTCATCTTCCCCGACAATTACAGCTATGCTAGTGGACTCTGAAGGCTCAGTCGCATTTTGAATTTATTCCCAAGAATTTTGAGCTGGATTGATGGGAAACAGCCGTTCCATTCCCCCATGGCACCTGCTGCTCAGTTCAAATGCCAAGCGCTGACATTTGATTCCATCATCCGAGTCTGTGCATCAAGGTCTCATGTCCTGGCTTTGAGTATCCAGAATGGTGTTTGCACGCCAAGAAAACAGGAGAACTGCTTAGGCTCAGCCGGCTGGCCAGAATGTCACTCTTCTTGGCAAAGAAAAGGTTAGCCTCCATGGTGGCCACTCTGTGTCTACCGGCTTGAGCCCTCCCAGAACTGGCTCCGGGCATTCAGGGTTTCAGGAAGACGCCAGTGTTCCATGGACTGCCTGGCAGTGCGGCTCCTGCAGGGCAATGCTGGCTGGGGGGTTGCATTTTCCATCCTGCAATGGGAGCAGGCCCTGGGGAGGTGAGGTCTGGTGTCCCTCAGATAAAATACTCCTTCCTGCTGCTGTCACCAGCATCCTGGAGAGCAGGGTCATCCTGCAGGGCTGCATCAGCGCTCTCGGCAAACTCCGTGCCTTTGGCCTCGTTGGTGTGGTAGGTGCCCTTGTGCCGGTACATGTAGTGCAGCATGACGAAGAGCAGGCAGACCAGGACCAAGGCCACAGCGGCAATCACACCTGCAGAAGGGGAGAAGAGTGAGGGCTGAAGGACAGGCATCACTCAGGACCTGGGACAGGAGTGGGGAAGCGTGATGGCTGAAGGACAGACATCACTCAGGACCTGGGACAGGAGGGGGGAAGTGTGACAGCAGAAGGACAGGCATCACTCAGGACCTGGGACAGGAGGGGGGAAGTGTGATGGCTGAAGGACAGACATCACTCAGGACCTGGGACAGGAGTGGGGAAGCGTGATGGCTGAAGGACAGGCATCACTCAGGACCTGGGACAGGAGTGGGGAAGTGTGACAGCAGAAGGACAGGCATCACTCGGGACCTGGGACAGGAGGGGGGAAGTGTGACAGCAGAAGGACAGGCATCACTCAGGACCTGGGACAGGAGTGGGGAAGCGTGATGGCTGAAGGACAGGCATCACTCAGGACCTGGGACAGGAGTGGGGAAGTGTGACAGCAGAAGGACAGGCATCACTCGGGACCTGGGACAGGAGTGGGGAAGAGTGATGGCTGAAGGAGAGGCATCACTCAGGACCTGGGACAGGAGGGGGGAAGTGTGATGGCCGAAGGACAAGGATCAAACAGGACCTGGGACAGGAGTGGGGAGGTGTGATGGCTGAAGGAGAGGCATCACTCGGGTCACAAGGCCCTGGGCCATCCTCTGCTTCTTTCTCTGGCCACAAGCAGGGAGCTTGACGGGAAATGCAGAAGCTGGGCCAGGGACTGGCATCACTATGAGATCCCAGTGCTTGGAGGTGGAGGATTAGCTAGTTGAGCCAAGACACTTACCCCTCAAATCCTAAAGAAAAACTGATGGTGTTTTGTTGCTTTGTCTTCTATTTTTATTTTTATTATTTTATTCTATCTAAAAAAAATAATTTTTACTGGAAAGTCAGATTTACAGAGAGAAGGAGAGACAGAGAAAGATCTCCTATCTGCAGGTTCACTCCCCAAATGGCCACAATGGCTGGAGATGAGCCAATCCGAGACCAGGAGCCAGAAGCTTCTTCTGGGTTTCCATGCGGGTACAGGGTCTCAAGGCTTTGAGCTATGCTTGACTGCTTTCCCAGGCCACAAGCAAGGAACTGGAAGGGAAGTGGAGCATCCAGGTTATGAACCTGCATTCATACAGGATCTTGGTAGATGCAAAGCATGGATTTAGCCACTAGGCTGCCATGTTGGGCCACATTTTATTTTCAATTGCCGACTTCCTCTTGGCTACTAATAAGCTAGAAGGAAGGAAACAGGGCGAGCAACTCCTCCCTGAGACTGAACTTGACTTGTTGAAAAGACAAGTTTTGTGTCCCAGTGGTGGCCAGTGGGGAGTCACCCACAAGCCCAGGGCCAGCACAAGGTGAAAATGTACCATCCTTCCTTAGGATGTAGTAGCAGCAAGGGGCATGAGACTCAGAGTAGGGCACAGGGTGGCTCAGGGAGAAGCAGCAGAAGACAAGGCAGTTCAGGTCAGTCCAGCTGCCCACTCACTCTACTCAAATATATTCTCGCCAAAGCCAGCTCCTGTCCATCCCAAGTTACTGCGTGTTGATGGCCCTGGAATGGAGGAGCTCTCAGTACAAGAGACCAGATGAATGCCCTCTGTCCTCCTGCCCACCTCCATCACCTGGATGTTCTGCCCTGGGCTGGACTCCTCCCTTCCAAGTCCACAGCCATCCTGAAAGTGGAAAAGCACTGGCCGCAGCCACCTCCTGTCTGAGCCTTGAGCTCTGCTTTCTTCTGGGAGTATGCTGGCTGCTCCAAGGGCCCCTGCCATGCCAGCTCACCTGCAATGATGGCGATGTCCGTTATAGTGGAAGCCATCCCTGGGTCTGGCTCTGCAAGAGAAAGAGAAAACCTTGAGGTAAGAGAGGAAGGTGCAGCATGTTTAATCAGCCCTGAGCCCAAATTCACATATCTGCACATGTGTGAGCAGTGCTGGGAACAACTCATGTGGGCAGCAACAGGCAGGTCCTTGCGTAGTGCACAGCCATGATCCAGGCTGGCAAGACCACTGATGGGACTGGGAGGCGCCATGAAAAATGCCAGGTCACTCCAGGAATCAGCAAGTGCCCCTGTGCCTGCACTGCTAGGCACTCACTGGGAATTTGGAGTTGCATGCTGTTGCCCCGTTGTGCTTCTCATGGACCACTGCGGAGTGTCCTTATCTGCCTGGCACTCCATCCGCTGTCCCTTGTGCTCTTCACTTCAACTGTTTTAGCAGAAGACAGAGGCTCCGAAATGTAGGCTCACCCAACAGCTGGTACCTAGCAGGTGCTGTCACTTCTTACCCCAAACAGGAATTTGCATCAGCTCTCCTGGGAAAATCTAGTCGAAAGGCAGTGGTTTCATTGTAGAGGTGTCTGGCCTGACTGGCGGGCCAGCATAACAAGGAGAGTGGGAGTCTACACATAACATCTCCTCACTCAGCAGGGTGAATGAGAAGCTGTTTGCCAGACCGTAGAAATATCAGTGCAAACATGGAAAAGCACACGTCCCCATGACATTAGCTATGCTTATTGTAGCAGGCAGGGATGACAGTTATTTCCCATTCAGATGATCATTTTAATCACAGCACTCTGAGTTTATCGTCTCCAGCATTGCTGCCAGACACCTCTTTCTGATCACGATCAGGCAGTGGATCTCAGGCAGAGGACAGTGGACAAGAGTAACTTCTCCCAGGCTTTCCTGGAGACCCTGAACAGGAAGAGCAGATGAGGGAGCTGCGTTAGCACAGTGATTACAGAGAAGTGCTTAAATAAGCCATCACACCAGCAAGGACACAGCCATGTGCACCCGTAGCGAAAACACAGCTAGGTACACGTTCAACAAGAACACGACAAGGCCCAGCTGGGCTTTGGCAACGGCATCCATGGGGAGCATGGCCAATCAAGCTGATGAGAGCAGTGGGGAGGGAGCAGCATCCACGGCTGGATGGCCTGCCCAATGCGTTGTTACCGACTGCAAGTGTTGGGTGTTGGTTGAAAATGACACTGTACGAAGAACTCTTGTGAAGGACAGCTATGGGAGAGCAGTCACCTCTGTAGCCAGTGCACATTCCCCTTGTTTTGGGTTGGTTTCTTTGCCCCCACTCTAGATTCCTCAGTGTCCTTGGCAAGTGAAGCATGCATCAGTTGACAGGTGAAGTTCATTAACTAACTTCTCTTTTTTGGTAGGAAAGGTCAAATACATTAACTTTCCTCGGATGATTTGTTATTGCTCACTGAATGGATGTCATATTCAAGCTTAGCACATAAGTGCCCAAGGAAATAAATGAATGGCTTATTAATCATCCATCAATTTTCCCTGGAAACCAGCCACTGTGACTTAGCTGTGTGCTTTTCAGTTCCAGGTTTGAAGGGAAGAAATTAGCTGGTATCTGCCCCAGGTACACTGCTGACAGCCTCTAAGACAGTGCTTCAGATATTTGTGGAAAAAATGGAATTGGAAGATAAGTTGGGTGAAAGGATTTTGAAGTGTATGTCTATGAAGGATCCTCAAAAAATCATGGAAAAAAAGTGTATTATGAAAAAAACACCCTCAAAATACTTTGTACCATAATAAACTGCAGTACATTTTACTTCTATTTCTGTGAGCTTTTTCAAGTTCATTTGTGGTCAAGTGCCCAGTAAACAGTTGCCAGGGGTAGGACTTTGTGGCGGGGACTCAGCCATCAGCATTCATTCCAGGATTCCTGGGGTCCATGGACAAGTTCATGACTATGTCCATTCATTCTAGTTCCTACTATACCCCAGCAATGCTTTCATATTTAAGGTCAAGCCCCTGCCATCAGCAGTTGACTGTATGACCATAGAAATACATGCATCTATGGATGAATCCAGAGTTTATCTCCATTAGACCCTGCTGTTCCCCAGTTTTCTCAGTTCTCGGTTGCCTGGGTGGGCCATGCCAGCCCAGGGCAGAAGCATGAGCGGGGGAAGGGGAGAGTGGGAGAGTAGCAAATGAGGCTACTGGCTTACGCAAGATGGTCTCCACAGGCTGTGTTTAACTGCAGATGTCTGGCAAGCATGTCAGGGGCTGGGCTTCAGCCAGCGGTTGGATAACAACTATAAGAGTCTACCTTTCCTGCCCATGTAGAAATGGGCATACTCAGTTGGGTATGCTCAAATGGGTATGCTCACTTGGCTTGCAAACTCAATCCACAGGTCAGGTGGGAACCACATTACCTCAGCCGTCCCCAGCCACCCTCATTAGGATGTGCTTGCCTGTGTCAAGGTCAACAAGAAGGTCATGAAGCCCAGCATGGAGCACCAAGTCAACAGTGGAAGCATGGTGTGGTAGTGCTATGCTAGTCTGACTGCCATAAAACAGCCTGGCCGTGCTTTCCTCCCCCCGCAACCATCAACCTGTGAGGCTGTTCCAGTGCCCTTATGTATTATTGGACAAAAGTATCACTACGAGGCTCAACTACTCTGCTTCTAGTTGTGAACCCTAGATTTAAAACTCTGGTATAGAAGTCAACATCCCCGCTCAGGAACATGTATTACCCTGCGACTTCCAGTGGGAAACGGAAGATGACAATCTCACTGTTCCAGCACTGGGAACTGCTTGTGTTGAGTCAATGACTGCCTCTGCAGTGGTTCAGATGATGCCTGGGGATCCTTAGTGACACTAGCGTGTGAGATTAAGTGAAAGCCGCATGGCTATAAATAGAAAGGACGCCAAGTAGTTTAACAAACCTGAGAAAGGAATGAAAAGGAAGTCACTGAAAATGCTCCACGGTGACTTTTGGTGGTGAATGGGGTTCATGGGTAGTTTGGTTTTCTTTCCATTACAAAGATGCTTCCAAAAGTTCATGGACAGTCAATGCGATAAGTTTATTTTTGTGCATTTTTTCTCAGTTATGTGAGCCATTTTCTCAGGAAACAAAGTTTTCATGAACTTTTTCAGTATGCACACATTTCTAGTATTTGAGGACATCAAAGTAAGCTTGTCTTTTCTCTTTTCCATTAACTTTCTTGAAGTGCCCTCTTCTGTGGATTTTTGCATTTTTCGAGCCCTTCCTGATACTTGGGTGTTATTCTGCAGTCAGGAACGATGACTGGAGCTTTGGTATTAGCCATTATCCCACAGCACCTTCAGAATCTCAGACCACGAGGGCTGTGCAGACCTTCCCTTACCCCTGTCACCCTTTCTGAATTGCCCCCACGGTTCTCACCTTCATATGCCCTCTGGGTAACCCACTGGGGGATGCCTCAAGTAGAGCTCTTCATGCACAAGGCAGAAATACACACGCAGCCAGGAGACGGTGCAGCCAGTGCACAGGTCTCCTCCCGCCATCATTCTCGGCTGCATGACAGACGGAGCAATAGGAGCTGGGCCTGAGAACACACGTGTTTCCACCGTGGCAGGTGGAAACACAGCCAAGCTCTGGAGTTCAGGGTGAAGGCTGGCTTTGGCCATCTCAGCATCTGCATCTCTGGAGTTCCTTAGGGAGCCATTGTCTCCTTGCCTCTAGCCAGTAGGGCCCTCAGACACAGTCTGGTGTCCCACTCCGCTGGCTTTCTAGGGTTCCTGGTTTTGATTGTCTCAAGGCTCTTTACAAGTTTCACTTTCTAAGCTGGGTGAGAGGGAGAGGCTCAGTCATTCTGCTTTCAGTCTCATGGGAGGGCACCTGGTAATGAAACCAGCAGCTTCAGTTTATCCTCTTGGCCTCCTCTCTGTTCATCTCTTGTTCTGATCCCTGTGCACAACTTTGATCTCTGTTCCCACACACATGTCTTACTTCCTTGTTCAAACCACAGTGGGCCTTCCATCTATGATTATGCGCCATGCTTTTGTCTCTGTTTTCATGTAGAAGTAGGATGGTTTGGCCAAGATTCCCTGCGGATCCCCTGTAGACACTGATGACACCCACGAACAGACTAACACGATGGCCGATGGAACATGAGCTGCATGTGGAGGAAGCAGGGAACAAAGTGGTGGGGGGCAGTAGGATAGGTCAGGTTTTGAACTTGGAGGTGCTCTGTGAGTGGCTGGAGGGAAGATGTGGAGGTAGCCCAGCAGGAGTGCAGGGAGCCTGGCAGTGGTGCAGGTGGGTCAGCAGGAGACTCAGGAATTGGTCGTGCTGTGCCAGTGCACAAGGGCAGTGGCAGGCTGAGCATGCTGCTGCAATGAGGTGAGTCACCTGTGTGTGTGTGCCGCTCAGGGAAGCCATGTTAGAGAGATGGTTGCACAGTGCCTGTCTCGGGGAAGGTGAGGGTCTCTGAGGGTTAGGGGATCTGTGCTGCCAGGCTCTGGGGCGACTACCCATAGCCCACAGCAAGAGAAGCTTTGGGTGGTGTGCATGTGGGAATGAGGCACAGCTATGCAGGGGAGCGGGATGGGGACTGGGGAGGCTGAGGGTACTTGGAAGTATGTTTCATGGCGTTTGTCACAGTCTGGGCGCTCTGAGACTGTTTTGTGCTCTTGTTTCCTTGAGCTGCTCCTTTCTGCATTTCACTCCATCCCCTGATGGGAGCCTGTGGCTATGCCAGAAGCTTCCATTCAGCACTGAGGCTAGAGGTGGCCTGAGAGGCAGGCTGTCTGTCCCTGCCCTGAACCTCGGTGTGTGTGGATGCGCAGATGATGGCATTCCTTCTAGCTTCCGTGACCTGATAGTTCAGCACCTTCAAATCTCATGGTCCTTGTTCCAGCTTTGATGGATGTTCTCTCTGTGTGTGTGCTCAAGTGTGTAAATGTTGATGGGTTGCTGGTGGCTGGAAGGAGGCTTCCTGGGAAGACTGTGGGCCTTTGCAAACTCTTGCTGAAGCTCCAAGTTTAGATTACTGTCACGTCAACCATGCGCAACTCCTCAGCTTTTGTAAAATGCAGGGAA